ACCCTTAGAGGAGCAGTCGTATCTTTTAATCTTTCAAACAAACATGCATATCTAGATCAACGATGGACTCTGAGTTTATTACTTTTAATAAAGCAACTGGAGAAGCTGAATGGCTTCGCCAGTTCATTGAGGATATTTCGCGTTGATCGAAACTTGTGCCAGCCATCTGTATTCATTGTGACAGCCAATCGGCTATTGGACGGACACAGAGTAATATATATAATGGAAAGTCTAGACATATTCGTCGTAAACATAATTTTATATGACAATTACTCTCGAACAAGGTTATCACTTTGGACTATGTAAAGTCTAAGGACAACATTGTGGATCCGGTAACCAAAGGGTTAAATCGAGTGTTAGTAGAGAAGTCGTCAGAAGGAATGTGGTTAAGGCCTTTAGTAGAAGGTGTTACCGGAATAGAAACCCAACCTAGTTGATTGGAGATCCCAAGATCTAGGTTCAATGGGACAACCTAATTGCGTGTAATGGTGGTATGTCACTGAGGAGGTTAAATCTCCAGTCATTTCTTTTATCAGTGATACCTATGAGTGTAAAGGTTAAGCTAAGTTTTTAATGACTCTGGTGTGTTGAGTTGTTGAGTTAAGTATAACAGGATATTCAAGTAGAGTCACCTATGTGAGTGTGAAGTGGGGTCTCTTCTATAAGAATCGACAAGGCCGAATTCTTTAAACCACTCACTGAACTAGGCTAGTGTTCCAAGGCCAAACCGAACACAACAAAGAGAACAGAATGATGGTTGGAGTAATTCCTGTATGAGGTCTATTGTCTTGGTTTATACAAACAGCAAAATAGTTCAAGACTTCGTGTTTACTGGGTAGCCAGTAAATCTGATAGATTTCACTAGGAGGGGTTCAAAGCCAAAAGTTACTCTTTCCGATGCCGGGGTTATTCCGTTGCACTTTCTTCGAGTCTTTGTTGTTAAGCGTTGTCCGTTTATTGTTATTCGGTCAATTTTTATTCATGTGAGGGATTATTGGAAAATAATGGTTTTTTTGGTGATTTTATTGCAATATTAAAGTGGGTGCCAGTCCTCAATTGAGGTGGATTAAAGTGTGTTTATATTCTTTGTAATGAAATCTTTACACCACAAAAAGAATGACAAAAAATCATTAAGATTTGAATAAAAATTTGATTCATTAAGTTGGCATCATCAAAAAGTTATTGGAAAAGGTAGCTGCAGAATTATACACATTACACATGTGTATAAAATGGGTGTAACTCCTCTATAATGATGATGGATTGAATTGCCATCAATTGGGAGTTTTGCAAAATTAAACCTCTTGCATTTGTTGCAAGAGCCTTTTTCTCTCTTACTCTATGTGTATAAAAGGAGACCATTCTCTTTCATTCTTTGGACCCAGAATATTTATTCTTGTCTTCAAAAGTTTCTCCCATTTTATATTCTTCCTAGTGAAAGTGTGCTGTCATAGTTCTGTTCGCCGAAGCTACTCAGTCGATGCATTACTGTAGCTGGTCCAACCGTCGTATCCTGAGAGACAGACGTCGAACAACCTCCAGCACCCAACCGGTGAGACGACGAATCTGTTTTAAAGATACTGTCTAGTGTAGACTTCGGTTTGCTTTCTTCTGCAATTTTATTTTTATAAATTTCTGTTTTATCTATGTATAATTTCCAGCATGAAATTCAGATTGTTAAATATATGAATTTATTTGATTTATGTTTCACACAATTTATACAACAATTGATTCCACTCAATCAAATTGTACATGTTGAGTGAAAACAGCATTTTTATATCTAAAACTGAAAAATAATATAAAATTTTTCCGTTCATCTTGGTTTAGCAGTAAAATTTAGGTATTTTCACCTCTTCTTTTTTTGCCTTTTTTCTGCAATTATTTAGATAATTCCATTTTCTAATTTTTGTTTTTATGTGTTTTTAAAAAGTTGTTGCCAAACTCGTGCACATTAGGACAGATTTAGGTTGGGGGATTTGGTGATAGCCCCCTCACTATCTAATTTGTCTTTCAAAAGGACAAGAATTATATAAGTACTTTCAAAACCCCATAATATTTTAAAACTTGTTTCTTTTATTATATTACCCTCATATCTATCAGCTCTCCTATTAAGCCATCTTCACAATATATTTTAGAGTAAAATTTTACTCTGTATAAAAGTAAAATTTTACATTCTGAAACTAAAAGTAAAATTTTACTCTGAATAAGAGTAAAATGTTACACTCTGAAACTAAAAGTAAAATTTTACTCTGTATAAAAGTAAATTTTTACTCTGAAAAACTAGTAAAATGTTAGACTCTACATAAAAGTAAAATTTTACTCTGTATAAAAGTAAAATTTTACTCTAACAAATGAGTAAAATGTTAGACTCTATACAAAAGTAAATTTTACTCTGTATAAAAGTAAAATTTTACTCTGTATAAAAGTAAAATTTTACTTTGGTTCTGTCAAATGAAAAAAACAGAGCAATAGAACCATAGTAAAATTTTACTCTGGTTTTGTCAAATGAAATTAGATAAAAAACAACAAAAATAAATCAAAAACAAACAAACAAACAAAAACAAAACAAATTAATCAACAAATCCACATATCTAATTGAAACGAAAAACTTCTAAAACTCGATCAACAATCACACATCTCAATGAAAAAGAATACATGTGTTCAACAACACTCATACACACAAATATATATATATACATATTCTACTGTTCCTCATCCACATCCTTCCCAACCTCCTGTTCAACTTCTTTCAATCTCGAAACTTCAGCCTTCGCATTCAACATCGCCAGCATCTCATCAACAACCTCATCATGTTTCTTCTCCGCTTCCAATTGAGCCATCTCCACCGCACTCCAAATCTCCATCTGCTCTGAAACCCTAGCTTTCGAATCTCCAATGACATCCTCATTCAATTTCAACATACTCAAAGCCACATCGTTGCTGATTATGAAGATGAAGAGAGGACCTTCTGCTGAAGCTTGGAAGACGCGACTATGGCGGCGGCTTGTCGACGACCTTCTGCTCAAGCTTAGAAGATGCAACTATGGTGATTATGATACAGTTGATGACGAAGCTGATTATATATGCAGAAGTTGAGGGTATAATAGTCCTATAAAATATTTAAATAATAAATTTTATCCTTTATGCAAGACTTTATAATTATGAGGGAGTTTAGAAAGTATAATTTTTTTCTTAGTCCTTTTAACAATGAAAGGAAGGTAAAAGGGGTTTATAGCTAAATTTCCCATTTAGGTTCCTAAAAAAAGTATAACAAATGAAATATATATTTTTCCATCTAGATGTCCTCCAACTGAAACCATGTGATTGGGTTTTTGTGGCCTCAGCACCGGATTCATTACAATTATTTAAATCATTTATTTTGTAAAGCACTCAAAATTGATTTTTCACTCTAAAATTAAAATTGATTGAATGAATATAATCACATGATTAAATTACATATATTAACACGAAATACGATCTTGAAAATCTATCTTCAATTATTTTATGAACAAATATAATGTGATCGTGTTGGTACAATTGTCTAATTAATTTAATTTTTTTTTGTAAATAATTTGTTTAAAAATTTTAATAAGATATAGGATTTAAATCGTTATAATAAATTACTGATAAGTCCATTAAATTTCATCAGAACGATCAAGTTGGCCGAGCTAACCGGAGACAATCTAGGTCCTAAATTAATATACCCCACTTCCCATCAATTTGTAGATTTTAATCACGGAAAATTTAAAAAAAAGGAAAAAAAAAGTGGCATTGATAAGGAATATAGGGCCGTTTGTTTGGGATTATAGGAAGGGAATTGGGTTTGATAGTGAAGAAGGGATTGAGAATGAGGTGTTTGTTTTGAGAGATGGGAAGGGAACTAGTAATCCCTTGGTATTAGTAAGGAGGAGGAAGAGGGATTGGTAAGGAGAAGGTAAAGATGGTATTAAAAAATAATGAGGGGATTAAAAAATTTTTTATTTTTTATATTTTTATATATTGAGAATTTTTTTTAAATATAATGTTTATTTTTTTATATTTTTTTATTTATTTTATTATTTTAGATAAAAATAATTTAAAAATTTTTCACTATCAACTCCCTCACTATCAATCCCTTCCTCTTATCTCCCAAAACAAATGGGCATAAGGTTAGGTAAAGGAGAGTATAAAGTGTTAGAATTTGCTACCATGGCATATTCCACCACCGTCTAGCCATCACGCGTCCTTACTTTTCTGCCACGTGTCTATCTTTCAGTCGGACCCACCAACATACGAGAAGTTATTGGTTTACCAATCTAACAGTGTTGTGATTAATGAGAATATAACGTCTTAAGAGTGTTAAATAATTTTTTCAAGTATACTCTTTACCGCACTCAAAAATTATATAAAGTTTCGGAATATTATGTCATCATATTCTCTTATTAATTAATATTTATTATGTTTATTTATATTTTTTAATTACTTAATATAATATTCTATCTATCTATATTCTTTATCAATTATAATATCAAAAATATGATGTATTGATATTTCAAAACTATCAAATAACACAAATGGTTGAGAGGTCTAAACTAACAACTCTAATGTTTGTTTAGTTGAGGGATTTGAGGAGAAATTTAAAAAATGAAATAGAAAAAGTAGATGAAATGTAAATAAAATATATCTATATTTTATTTAGTTTCACACACATTTTTCTTTTTTTCTTTTCAAATTTTTCTTAAATTCTCAATTAAACACAGCGTAAAGGAGTTATAATAAATGAGATTCACCTATCAATATTATTACATATACCAATTAATATATTAATTAACGTACTATAATATTATTATTAACCCACTCATTATACAAATTACAAATATTAAAAAAAAATTAAATTATATCATATTATTAATTAATACCCTAATAAATACATATAACATTATTCTTTTTAACTTTATTTTTTATCTGGTCACCTCATTAAAACTTTTGTTAAAATTTCAAATTCAGAGGTGTGTATCCTTGCCCACCAAATAATCACACCTAACTAAACTTGCATTTATGATTCGTCTCCCACCGACGCCTTTAGCGTCTCTCTCTCCTCTCTACGTAATAGAACTTTCTTTCTCGTTAGTTGAAGAGCAGCTGGCGCGATGACGATTTATCAAAGTTTAGATTTAGAGAGAGATAGAAAGGAGTTTCTCTCCTTCTCTCTCTTCCCGATGAACAATTTTTAGGTATTTCTGTCTCTTTATAAGCAGTGTGTGTGATCTTTATATACAGAGTCTTTGATAGTAGTACTGATTCTGATTTAGCGCAGGGTTTGAAGAAACCAGTGATTGTTTCTTTACGGAAATTTTTAGGAGATTCAGTATGTCGGGGCCGCTTGATCAATGCACAAGGCCTTGTGAGATCTTCTTCCTCTATATCTGTTTTTTGATTTTGTTTGATTTATATATTTTATTTTATTTTTTAAAAAAATTTACAATTAAAAAATATAATTTTAATTATTATTCATATTTTATTAAGAAAGGAAAATTTGGGAATAAAACATACAATTATGGTGAATTGAACTTGGTTACTTTGAAATATTTTTTGCCATTATGCTTTGTCAAGATCAATAGACTCTGTTAATTCGACTTTTTGACTTTTCCTGAGGTGGTTCGAAGTCTGGTGGTGGCTGACCTTCTGCGGCGTGAATATCAGAGGCATTAGGCCTCAGTCATTTTTTTTTTTTTATCATAGCATGAGGCCTCTGTTTGTAGTTGTGTTTTTTTGCTTTTATTTCTTTTCCTCTTGAACTTTCGTGTACTGTTCTATTCCTTTCCGGAGCAACAAAAAAAAAAAAAAAAAAAAAAAAAGGACTAGTGATCTTGATAGGCTTTTGGAAATTTTTTATTGGGTATATTGCCTATTTTGAAAAATAGGTTAAAAGTGAATTTTTTTTTTTTTTTGAAACGTATAAAAAAAACTAGAGAGGTGATATGACCCAAAAAAAAAAAAAAAAAAAAAGGCGAAATGGCCAACTTTTTGGCTTTTAACCTAATTGCCAAAATTTTTGTATAGCTATTGGTTTTTTTTGTTTTGTTTTGTTTTTTGTTTGTGTGTGTGTGTGTGTGTGTAATTCTTTCTTCTCCACCCTTATCCCCACCTCCATAGTGTGTAGAAGTGCAATGTTATCACGCCTATTTTACTTGTTCTTGTTTTGGCTTGTTTATTAGTACCTGACAGCCAAATCAAGTCTGTAGTTCACTTCATGTGATGTTTAATCACTATTTCGTGAACTTGATGGATGAAGTTAGACATCAATTTCATAAAGTATTATCTCTTGTACCTTTCTATGGTTTGTGAAGCTCATATTTATGGTTTACCCGTTAGGCTGCAAGTCCCAAGAATGTGAGCTTCTCGTCTCTTTGAAATTTGATTAAACAACTAATTTTCTCCTCCTCACTGAGTCTTTCACATAATCATCACATTATGAAGGATTGCTAAACTAGGAATTATACGAAATTCAGAGCCACTGCTTCTGCTTAGAATTTTGCAATGTGGATTAATGGGTAAATTTGAGTTCATCTTATGTCTTAAAAGATTTTTATCCCCGCTTTGGAGAAGTACACAAGTAGATTGTTTGCTGCCCAATGATAGAAAATGTACAAAACATTTTTTGTAATTTTGAGGTGTGTAGCCTAGAACTTTTATAGCCTGTTATGGTATGATGAAAGTCGTGGATATATAGTAGTACATTCCAAATAATGTTAGTCATTTGATGTCATGTATACATGTGAATAACTTTTTGAAACAGAAGTATAAATTCCGAGACAAGTTTTGCATAATGCAACAAGTAAATAAAAGGATTTACTCTTCCATTTGGTTGTTGCGAACTGCAATTTTCATGTAACCCTTAAAAATCGAAACTATCTCCTAAATTACAAAATAAACGTGCAATATTCCTATAAAATCTGGTGGGCTTTGGGACAGAAATGCTTTACCTTATCCTATCCTACTGAACCTTTGTGTGCAAGCCATAAAATTTTTGGGACATTCACTTCTTAATAACATAGTTTCATTCCACCGTTTGGAAAAATAGATGTGTAATTTTCTAGTTATACTTGTCAGATATTGACACTAGGGATGTTGGCAAAATGGTCATTGAAATCATGCTGTCTTGCCTGTTGTGCTTCTCAACTAGTGCAAACTTGATTCAAGAATAGAAGTCCGAATCTAATCCTTTGCAGAATTTTGGAACAAAAACTTTTGCCTGTTCCATGCCCTTCCATAAATGTCTTTTCCTGACAAACTAGTTCACATAAAAAGCCAAGTTTAAAATAAAATAGAAAAAATAATCCATGAGGATATAAGAAAAAAAAGAGGGTGAAAAAAATCTCTAGTAGCATATGAGTTGGACAATTCTCGACTGGATTGATTCTTCTTCTTGCACTATTTCATTGCAACAATGGTATTATTATTTGTTTGTGGCCTTTACAGCCATGAAGTGAAATTTTTAGACCGTGTTGTGCACATTCTATGAGCGAAAATAGCTCTTAGAGTCTTATAAAAGGTTTTAGATGCTTTACCAAAATTTCTTTCATTTCATGGGGTGCTTAGTGGTATCATTTATGGAGCAAAATCAGTATGTCTGTATGACTTATGGTGCTAATGAATTTCTGTTTATGTTCTGTAGGCTTTGAGGAATCCTATAATTATGATGAAAGAAAAGAACTGCAATCAGATTATGAAATCTCGGAGGATGAAAAGAGGACAAGAATTGGGAGTTTGAAGAAGAAAGCAGTAAATGCATCCAATAAAATTAAGCATTCTCTCAAGCAGAAAAGTAAAACAAAAAACGAGAATCAGACTACTTCTGTTTCAATAGAGGATGTCTGGGATGCTAAAGAGTTAAAGGTTGTAGATGCTTTCCGACAAGAACTGATCTCAAATGACTTGCTACCTGCAAGATATGATGATTATCATTTGATGTTGAGGTGATCTTCTTTCTTTAACATGTACATATAAAATGCATACACCTGCACCTACACCTACACCTACACCTACACCACCTAGACATACATATATGTATATAACACAGAAATGGATATGTTGTTGATTTAATATTTCTTTAACATGTGGATATATAATTACATACATAGGTATATGTGTATACAAGTACTCGGATAGACATGCTCACAAGCCATGGAATATATGTTCTATTCATGGAGGTATTTTTGCTTACATGTTTGATTGACTAGTATTTGCTTAGATGATATGGAAAATTATTTCTTTGAGTTCTCAATGACAATGACCCTCCCTTGTCAAATAAAATGGTGCATCTTATTTCCTCAAGAGTGAAATCAAAGGGTTTTGTCTCTTCTTCTTGCATATGGCGTAATAGATTTGTACTGGAGTCATATGTAGACAGCATATTTGTATAAGCTTATGGGAGGCCACTGGTAAGGTATTGCTACACACTAGTAGAAACTTATAGACAGTATGCTAAACTCTAAAAAAGTACTAGCTGATTATATGAGTTAATTCCATTTATGGTGTGCTCTTTAGGGAATATGACATCAATGAACATGAGGCTTCAGCACTTGTACCTCCTAATCAACACTCTTTATCAGAGAATCAGCTAACACATATTAACATTAAATAATGTTGTGTCTTTGACTTTCTAAATTTTTGTATGTTCTGTGCACAGGACTGAATTTTGTTGCTGTCAATTTCATTTGATTGACTATGTTGCATGCGAGATGGGGTTGATTTATTTTATTGGGTCAATTTCCATGCAGATTCTTGAAAGGGAGGAAGTTTGATATTAAGAAAACAAAGCACATGTGGGCTGAGATGCTTCAATGGAGGAAAGACTTCGGTGCTGACACTATCATGGAGGTAATTTCAGCTGATGATTTTCCTCCTGCATTAGTCTCAAATTCCTGCCATAGCTTTGTAGTGCCAGTTTTTGATAGGTTGACTTGTTCTTTCTCTCTTTTGGTAAGGTTTTTAACGCATTTAAATAAATGGGTTAGTGCCTCTCTCAGCCCATCCACTAGCAAGTAGGTTGCAGAGACACTTACGGTTGAGGTTGAACACTTCATTTACTAGAAAACTTTCCAAATAATGAGCATATATATTTTGTCTTACTCAATTATCTAGAATAAAAATAAATATCATTCAGCGTAGAAATTATTCACTTCTGGTACTACAAAAAAACTAACTATTGTCAATTTCTTGTAGTGTTTTTAGTTACAATTTGTATTTATATAAATGAAATAAAATGGAAATAAATGGTAGATTTGATTTCAAGGAAATTTGAAGGGTTGGGTTAGGGATGAGCTTAGCTGCCCTTCATATACAGGTTGGAGCCAGGTTAAGCTTACTTGTGTTAGTATTGATGCTCAACCTAACTTGGCTTATATTTGGGTCCTTGGTTTAGTGAAACTTGGTTATTGATGAAGTTGAATTGTTTCTTCTCATTATGTATCATAAACATTACTAAATGATGTATGCTGACTTTTTTTATTTCTTATACATCTTGATGTTTTGCTAGGATTTTGAGTTCAAAGAGTTGAATGAAGTTGTACAGCACTACCCACAGGGTTATCATGGTGTTGATAAGGAGGGAAGGCCCATATACATTGAAAAACTTGGAAAAGCTGATCCATTCAAGCTTATGGAAGTGACAAATTTGGATCGGTTTGTGAGATACCATGTGCAAGAGTTTGAGAAAACTCTTACTATCAAGTTTCCTGCCTGCTCTATTGCTGCAAAAAGACACATTGATTCAAGTACAACAATTTTAGACGTTCATGGCGTGGTATACTTTTATTTATTTTACTTACTCATCTAGATATCATTATAAAGCAAATACTGCAGAGCTTGGCTTCATAGGAATATATCACATTCTATTCTTGCTCTTTCATACTCTTTGTTGTTCAGGGTTTTAAGCACCTGACTAAACCTGCACGAGAAGTCATTATGCTGCTGCAGAAGATTGATAATGACAACTATCCTGAGGTATGATTCTGAAATTTGTTGTACTTAGAATTGTCTCACCACACACCTACCATCTTTACACTGTTGTTCATTTGAATTTTGAATTGTATATATCCCCTGAAAGATGGATCACTTTTGGAATGACAATTCTGCAGACACTTGGTCGTATGTTTATTATAAATGCTGGTTCTGGCTTTAGGCTGCTCTGGAACACAGTGAAGAGTTTCCTTGATCCCAAAACAGCTTCGAAGATTCATGTACGTTAAAAGAGTTGACTTTTATCTATTGAAAGTGTACACATCATAACAGAATCATATGTTGGATCAATTATTTTTTATTTTTTTCTCAGGTTCTTAGCAGCAAATTCCAAAGTAAATTGCTTGAGATTATTGATGATAGGTAAATAATTAGAATTTTCAGGATTTAAATATGCTGTTTTTTCCTTATGCAGAAGTCTAACCATTTGTAACTCTTGGGTATAATTGTGATTGTTCAGTGAGTTGCCAGAATTTCTCGGTGGTAGCTGTACATGTGCAGATGAGGGAGGTTGTATGAGGTCTGAGAAAGGGCCATGGAAAGACCCGGATATATTAAAGGTTTGTGCTTATTTCAAAATCATTTTGGTTTGTTATATGATTTCGTGGACTTAGTATTATAAGTCCTTTTACTGGTAACTTGCTTCATAGGTTCCTGAAGTTATGTGACTGTATGTAAGCAGATGATTTTTGATGGTGAAGTGCAAAAATCCAGACGAATAGTGACCGTATCAGACAGTGAGGAGAGAGCAACTGGTGATGAAAAGCCACATTATCCTACGGTATGCTCTACTTGAGTATCTTACAAGCAACTTAAATTTTCATTTGGACTTCAGGACCTCATCAACCTGCTGATCATGGTGCTGTGCTCTATAGAAATTCTTTTATTTAACCCTTCCCCCCAGGTGAAGTGGAGGTGGTAGTGGTGTAGTGCTGTGACATTGCCTTCTAAAGGTTGATTTAATCATTTTATTGAGTCAGACAAAAAGCAGCGACACTTCTGCTGATTCCGGATCTGAAGCTGAGGAACTTGCATCTCCAAAAGCAACAAAGACATATCCAGACCCAAGGTTGACTCCTGTCCTTGAAGAAGTAAGTTGTAATTAATAATGGGTGGAAATGTATGATACAAAATCAAGAATTTTGGATCAGATCAAAAGGGGGTTAGTTCTTCACGTGTTCCTTTTCATCTTTTGTCCTTGTCTATTGAATGTATTAGCACATTTGAATGTATAAACATCTCTTTCTTTATTGCAGTTCTATTTCTACTCTATAGATTCTGTTTGTGCTGCTCATGAATGTGTATTTGTTGGCCATGGATAAGATTTCCATGTAATTTCATACTGAAAGCATAGGTTTTCAAGCTATTTGGTAGACAAATGCTAGCTGGTTTGTAGAGACATTTCTGTCTTTTGTTTTTAGCTTTTACTTTTTTTTCTTGTTGAACAAGGGAACACATTTACTTGGTATCATATAACAATGTGGCTATTGTTACATCAAAAGTCGATTTTTTTTTTTTGGTCTCAGTAAAGCCCTTCTTTTTTTCTTTTTTTTGCCTCGGATGGTAGCGCAGAATCATGATTGGTGGTGGAGGACCACAATAAGATGATTGCAACTAGGCATGCTCGATTAGCAAATTGCATGCAGTAGATTCTAAAAATAAATTTCATCCATTATTTAATTTATTGTTGACAGGAATTACCAAAAGTTGGCCATCCATGAGTAGATCCATATGTTTGGTTAATAAAATAAATTGAGGAGGCTTTTTCTGACAAATTTACTTTAGAAGAGACCAAAGGCAACATGGCAAGTGACACTATTTATTTTGCTTCAGTCTTTTTACTAGGAGAAAACAAGATGAAAAGGTAAGGCTGTATTTTGATTACACAGCCTTCAAACAAAATAAACTAGTATTTACCCAGTTGTGTTGTTATGTCCCGGCATCTCTAACAGTGAACTGAACTCCTGTAAGTAAACATGTTACGATCACCTCATTACACACGAGGTCATGGTTAACCTGCTTTACCAATTATTTTGACTAAGGTGGTTGGACATGCAAACTGTGATGGCAGCTTGTCTAGGGATAATGAATTTGTCCCAGTGATTAATCAGCCTGCAGATACAGGATTTGAGGAACAAATGGGCCTTCAAAAGCCTAATGCTTCAAGAGGTTAGCAAATCTTCCACCTTTGTGAAGTCCAAGTTTGTTTATCTTCATTTTAAATAAAGTGGTACTCTTAGACCTCTAGACCACCACTTATTTAAAGAGCCATGGAAAGAGCCTTACTTTTGTGTCTTTTGTTACAGGGATCAATGATCCAACTTCCTATTTATTATCACTCTAATGAGAATAAAAGTCGCATTTTCTTTACATGTAATGACTTACTTCAGATACTAATTAGATTCATGAAATCCTATACAGGGATGCCTTCTCTCGCAAGACAGCAAATAACTCCACAAGGACTTTGTGCCCTGATTTGGGCAGCTCTCCTGGCCTTCTCTGCAACCATCTTTAATCTTTTCCTTTCACTAGTGAGCCGAGTGAATAAAAACACCCCCAGCCAAACAATTGAACTAGTGCCCGTGGAGGAATACCCTCCACCTTTGAATTCTGCTTTTGGTAAGGCAGACCTCTCATCTGTTCTCCAGAGGCTGGGTGAGCTCGAGGGGAAGGTAGATATGTTACAGACGAAGGGCTTTAGCATGCCCAATGAGAAAGAGGAATTGCTCAATGGTGCTGTTTATCGTGTGGATGCATTAGAAGCCGAGTTAATTGCTACTAAGAAGGTAATTCTGTTTATCTTCTTATTTAGGTTCTTCTGCAGAAAACCTAATACAGGTAGTTAATATTTTGTATGAACTTTTACAATATTTGCATTATATGTCTTGTCTTTTAATGTTTAATGAACTTAATGATATGTACATATGCTAGGAATGGTTCTAGCTTTGGTGATGCACTTTTTATTTGGTACCTTATTCTGCTCCTTTTCTTTCTGTAAGTCACTGGATGAAGCTCTAATAGTGCAAGAAGAACTCCTTGCATACATAGATCGTCAAGAAGCTGCCAAGCTCCGGGTAACTTGAGATTAGGATCTGTGCAATTTCATTGAGCAATTTCATCTTCAAGAAACTGATAGTTCAATTGTTTGCGCATGTGAAACAGATAAGGAAGTTTTGCTTCTAAGGATGAGATTTTTGTACAGGAGGATTTGTTTGACAGAATGTTGATTCCGTTAGCTGTATATATCTGTATTTTGAGATGCATACATGTAGTTTTTTTTAATTTTTTTTTTTTTTAATTTTAATATTCTTTGATTTCAACATTTATGAAGTTTCTGATATATTAAAAATTTGTACATACCAACCATGTAAAATAAAGGCCGTTAGTGTTGTTTCTCTAGTTTTCTCGCCTTTGTTAAGGCCACACTTTATCTCATCTCTCTTTTAGTGGTCTCTGAAGGATTTGTGATGAGGTTCAGTTACTATTACGGATTTGATGAAATATCATGTATTCTCTCAAATGAGAGCCCATGTTTTCTGGTCGCATTCTCTTGTTTCTGTTTTTTCTTTTTTGGTTTTTTGCCGCATGTCTCTGTGAGAGAATACACAATACAAACTCGTCAACTCAAATCTGGATGCTATTGAATGTTGTGAAAGAAAATGTCACCGTGCTAATGAAGGGGGAGTGTGGTTGAAGTGACACACCCTTTTCGAAACTTGCTTTGTTTTTCAGAAGTAATAGTCATTAGGCTAGACAGGGATTTGTTTGCCAAATCTCAACACAGCAAAGGCAACTTGTGTCACCACCGAGCCTAGTAATCAAATAAGTGCGAACCTTGCAATGCTGAAAAAAAGAAAAGATCACTGTATGGGTGACTTGATATTAGAATGTTTGGTTTACTAATCACTCCTTCACGGCAATGTGTTTGCTTTTTTTATTTTTGAAGGTTATTATTGTATTTTTAAGCGTGCTAGTAAGGATCAATCAGTCCTTACAGAAGATTAATTGCCAACCAATTATCAAACGATTGTGTTTCAGTTCTTTCAATCTTAACGAAGAGGACTTTTACTGGTGGTTTTGTTTAGGAGAATTAAGCAAACAATAATTAAATGAAAAGCAATTGTAGCATTTCATTAAGTAAAAATGAAAGACTTATAGTGATCCAATTCAGCCTTGTAGAGGTTTACAGTAACAAGTTACTTGAAACTACTCCTACGAACAAAGTGCAGTGTAAGAATTTGAAGTACAGAAAATGTAAAGAACAAGAAATGTAAACTGGAAGGGAAATAAAATAGATAAAAATTGGTTTTTTAAATATGAGTCTAGGCTTCTTTCTGGGGTCTTTTCTTCTATTTATACTTTTCAATGATAACTGTCGAATCATCATTTTATGATCGCTGATCATGTTTTCTCACAATTAGTTCCACTACGTCATGTCTGCAGTTAGGCTTCCCTCTTGATTTTGAATTCAAATATACGAGTAACTGTTAAACTCACGTTATCTTGCATTTCTTTGCTGATCCAGTGCTATGCAGATCCATAATAACCAATACTAACTGCCACGTGTGTGATTACGATTGAAGATTTAAATTGTTTTTTCGTATGACCCTCATCCTGTCACGTGTTGAACTGTGATTGGCCTATATAAAATATGTAGCCAACACAATGCTAACAAAAGAAACTGAATCACAAACAAAGTATCAACCATAATTTGTGTTTTTCAATGATGTAATTTTTTTTGAACAATCATTCAAGTTCTTTGGCTGCTCTGAAAACTTTCGTCATGGATGCGTATGTATGAATGAAGCATCAATTTCTACAAAATTTAAAAGCTAATTAGGATCTGTCACCAACAAATGAAATGATATGAAAATGATTTTGTTGTTTTTTGTTTTAAAAAACACAACAAAAATAAAAATGAAAATTATACCAAAACATGGATGGAGTTTGTAAAAGTACTGATTGGGAACTTCATAACGTTGTTATAGCCAAACAAATAATAGGTAAAAAGAAGAATTTGTTGCATTTGGGTGGAGTTTGTATTGCGGGGTATTTTTAATAAAAGAATTGTTTTTTGAAATTCAAAAAATAAAATAAAAGGCACATTAAAGTATTTGGCTTGTGAGTTATGAGGAAAAAAAAAAATTAGAAGAAGAGGGCTTGTATAATTTATGTGGATAATTAAGAAAATGAAAAATAATGAGAGAAAATGAGAAAAAATGAATTTCTCCAAACTCATATTTTATTTCTCCATCAAAATTGTTAAGATTTGATGAGAAATCATCAAGATTTTTGTATATAGAAAATAAATTTTAAAATAACTAAATATTCTATCCAAATACAAAATAGTGAAAATGAAAAGATACATGTATTATTATTACAGCAATGTTAGGGGGCCACAAATTCTGTGGTTCAACTGGCTTAAAACACCTAAAATGACGTCGTTTTGAGTAAAAAACGATACAAAACGACATCATTTTAACAGTTTCAAGCCATTTGAGCCACAAAATTTGTGACAACCAAACATTTTTCTTATTTTTATTATATTTTTGTTTATTTAAAGTTCCAAACAAAATGTTCATTATACAAAGGCTTTCGGGCCTCTAACAACTCTCTAACTCTATCTCTAATGATGAGTAATCAAACATGGCAAAGCAGGGAACTCAAACTTGAAATCCTTTGTATGAATTTTTGAGTTGTGTATCTTCATTGTTTACTTCAGCTTCGTCTTTCTGTTAGTTCTCACTGTGTTTGGTTCTCGGGAATAACGAGAGACAAAGAAAGTGGATGTGCTAGAAAAATGGCAAGTAAAACTAATCTATCAAGTAAATCCACTGAAACGTATGCTACTAATTCATTACCCTGATTCTTCTGAGCATTTTCATTTTTATTTGCGCTTTTCTTATTAATTGTAGAGATTAAAGTGACGCAATACATGTTTTCTCAGTTTATGCTCAACACATGTTTTTATTTTTATTTTTATTTTTAATTATGTCAGTGGATAATATGTTTGATGATTTTATTTGTATTGATTTTTTTCATTTCAATTTATTTAGTCTGCTTAGGGCATGAATCAATGGATTTTCCAAGCATTTTTATGTTAGTGGATAATTTTTGATTATTTTATTTATTGGTTTCAATCTATTTATTCTACTTAAGCCATGTTTGTTTGGGCGGATTGGATTAGTATTCCCATGACTAATAGTCCTAGGATTACCAATTCGTTGGATTATGTATCCTATCTTAACTAATAGTCAAGTTTAAAATAATTAATCCGGACTTTAATTGTTTAACCAAACATCAGATTAATAATTTTATTGGACTATTAGTCCAATCCCAAGCTCATATCCACCCAAACAAACATGGCCTTAGGGTATGAATCAAGGGATTTCCATACATTTTCCCCATTTTGTTCAATTCTCTTTATCTCGGGTTGAGATTCAAACTATGTTCCAGTATTTTCATTTAGATAGTTTTTGGGGTTTTGGCAGTCATGATGCACTACTACCAATTTTTTGAGATTACTTAGGTGGATCTCATCAACAATTGTTTAACATTGTCTATGTTTGGAAATTGGATCACATTCCTTTTAATATAGTAAGAACTTAAAGCAACAATTGACATTGCAACACTTGCATTTCTTCCAAATTCATCTTTGATTTCCATTGTTTGAGAATAATGTTACTGCTTTGGGCATGTAGCTTTCAGCAGATGTTCAGATACTAAAACGAGATTGTGCCCAAGGAACCTAATATATGCAAGGTTTTCACACAAGTCTTGACATCTTATGTAACTTATAATGTGTTTTCATATGTGGAGGCAAATCATGGGTACCAAAACCAACATAAAGGAAAGCTCTTGTTAGTTCATTTTCTTTCTTAGTTTGTTGTCTCAGTTTTTTCTTGGCAATGTTCTACACTGAATTACAACAGTCTTGCACTGTTATCCTTTTCAGGTTCTGCTGAGTTCTTATAGAAGTTGTTTTTTTAGTTCTAGTTCTGTGTTAGCATCCTCACAATTGTTTGGAGTTCCAAATGTGATTGCAAAGTACAGATCCTGCCTGAGATATTCAGTTACGGCTAGCAACTCCTTTGTGAGCCTTTCGACTGGTGATGTAAATATGCAGCCTGATCTGCAGAGGACTTACCAAGTTGTGGTGGCTGCAACTCATGATATGGGTATTGGGAAGGACGGGAAGTTACCATGGTGGTTGCCTTCTGATCTTAAATTTTTCAGCAAGATAACAATGACTACATCAGATCCCGAGACGAAGAATGCGGTAGTGATGGGGAGGAAAACATGGGAAAGTATTCCCCTTGAATATCGACCTCTTCCTGGCCGTCTAAATGTTTTGTTGACTCGTTCCGGGAGTTTAGATATTGCTACTGCTGAGAATGTTGTGATATGTGGGAGTATTCCATCTGCTTTGGAATTATTGGCACGACCTCCTTATTGTTTTTCAATAGAGAAGGTGTTTATCATAGGAGGTGGTCAGATTCTAAGGTAATTCACTGTTGTTTCATGAATTTAACAAATTTTTATTGTTGATAAGAAAAGTTTGATGTTTTTCTGTACAGGGAGGTACTTAATGCTCCAGGATGCGATGCTATCCACATGACTGAAATTGAGTCAAGTATTGAATGTGACACTTCCATTCCTCCTGTTGATGTCTCTGTTTTTCAACCATGGTACTCATCTTCGCCACAAGTGGAGAACAATATTCGTTATTGTTTTGTGACTTATGTCCGTGTGAGGAAATCTGCCACTGAACTTGTTTCTTCAAGCAGCCGGGTGAATTACAATAGCAGTTTAGATTCTACTAAGTTCAATGTTGAGAATTTTACCTTCTTGCCCAGGATGATTTTTGAGAAACATGATGAGTTCATGTATCTGAGACTGGTTCAAGATATCATCTCAAGTGGCAACCAGAAAGATGACGGGACAGGGACTGGTAGTCTTTCAAAATTTGGTTGCCAGGTAATTCCTAACTTTTTCTTGGTTCACATGTTTTTGCAGTTAGTGTATGAAAATATCATATTGCTTCTAAATCTTGTTTGATTCGCAGATGCAGTTTAATCTCCGTAAGTGTTTTCCACTTCTCACAACCAAGGTATTGATTGTTTATAAAGTTTAAGCAATTGCGATGTGTTATATTGTATGTCCTGTGGGAGTACCCCTTTCTTGTTCTTATGTTGATCAGTATTAATGGTGTTTTATTTATTACCATCACAACATTGTCATGTTTTCGTCTCTCTAGATTGGTATTCCTTTTACATATTCTTTCCCAGGCAAGCTTTTCCAGTTATGTGTGGATATGCAATTTCTATTCATCTATGTTTTTTTGGGATGACACTGATGTGTTTGTTAGACAGAGACTTTTTTGGAGAGGTGTTGTTGAAGAACTTTTGTGGTTTATTAGCGGTTCAACAAATGCCAAGGTAATTGTAGCTTCACTTAATGCATTAGAATCCATGTATTGCCTTTTATTTTTCGTGTTGCTTTCTCTTACTTTTGAACAATTAACTCAAGACTAATTGTTACAAATGTTGTACTGAGCCCAGATGTTCTGCTAAATAGTCATATTTCAACACTCAAAATATATTGTAAGGATGTGCAATAACTAACTAATTATGGTACAGAAGGTTTTCCTTGTTCAATAGGATCTGATAAACCATACAAACCAGAGCCTCAAGGTGTTGATTTATCTTGATGAGCTTGAGCCGATGTTGAGAGGCTTGCTTTGGTTATTGACTAACATTGGACTTGAGAGGGTTGGCATATGGCAATCTGCAAGGTGGATTGCCTGCCAACATACGTTTGAAATGTTACATCATGCATGTATCATTCTAGAATATTATGCTTTTGATGACTGATGTGGTTAATCCATACTTGTGAAGTTGGAAAATATATTACATATAAGATAGTTGTAAGACTATAGGGCACAACATATTTGAGAAATGAAAAGTGGCTAGAATGTGACATTGTTCATATTGATGGTAATAAATGGTAATAAATGGCAAGGGAAGACAGGCCAAAACTAAACTAGTTTGAGATAGATGGAAAATAAATGGTGACATGTGGTTTAACTAAAGCTATGAACCTTGATCGAGTAGAATGGTGAAACATGAGGCACATACCTGACCCTAGCGACTAGAGGGCTCAAAATTTCCCTACTTTCAAGTGTCCCCCTTCCCACCATCCGCCGCATATGCCCTTAATTTGTTTAAATGTTTTTAAACAACCTACAAAAGCCTCTCTAAGGAAAATTTCTACCTTTGTCCCTGCCTGACCCCATAATAGTCAAGGCTTTGTAGTTTTGTCGTTGATTGTGGTCCATTGCTCTAGTTGCTTCATTCCTGTACTGTATTATTGCCATTAAAGATTTGAAATGCACATGTTCATAAGTATTGCATGGCATGGTCCCTTGAACTGGCCTTCTGTGTTGCAATATACCCATATGCAAATATCTTGATGCACATGCACTACTCAAATTTCATTGCAGCTGTTCACTTTTGATTTCACCATATTGCTGCTTGCTTTATTGACTTGGTTTGGCATACATGTTTAAATTTTTTCTGCTTATTACTAGGATTGCTTGCTATGATGGGATGATGTGTCATGTACATGTGATAATTGAGGAAATCTGAATTTGGTCATTTGGCATATAATTTTTTTCCCTCTGCGTTACCATTTCACATTTTCTGATAGCCTTTGCTACAAAAACTTTCAATGTACTGAATTTTTTTTCATTGGTAAACTAATTGTTTACTGAGGGAGAAATTGATAATAAAAACATATTGTTGCTGATAGGTTCTCCAGGAGGAGGACATTCATATATGGGATGCTAATGCATCAAGAGACTACCTTGACAGGCATGAGAAATGTGCTTACTATCTGGATTGAATCTTGTTTGTCCCCACTGATCAATTTGATGTACTCTGCAATCTGTATGTTTCAGTATTGGCTTGGCAGACAGGGACGAGGGTGACTTGGGACCCATATACGGATTCCAGTGGAGACACTTTGGTGCCAGGTCAGCTGTAAGTACTTGATTTAAAGGAAGTGTAGCTTAGGTTTTCATTTTGGGATCCTCTCTTAAGGGTTTTGTGTCCAGATACACCAATATGCATGCTGACTACACAGGCCAAGGATTTGATCAGTTGTTAGATGTTATTGATAAGATCAGGAATAAACCAGACGACAGGCGGATTCTCCTCTCAGCTTGGAATCCATCTGATCTTAAGTTGATGGCTCTCCCACCTTGCCACATGTTTGCACAGGTTTGGAATATGCTAATTGACTTACAAAGTTTTCCCGTCATTTAATAATTATCTGAAGTGTTACAACTCTACTTTTTGTAATCTGTCTGTCTATTGCAGTTTTATGTAGCCCATGGGGAGCTGTCCTGTCAAATGTATCAGTGGTCTGCTGATATTGGTCTTCGTGTGCCATTTAATATCGCATCTTATGCTCTATTGACATGCATCATTGCTCATGTTTGCGGTATGCATTCTCTTCCACAATGAGAAACCAAATTATTAAAACGCACAGTATCTCTTCTTTTGTGGCGTTTCAGTGTAATCATTGTTCATTGGTTATTACTTATCTCACACGTGCGGGCCTTGTAAAGAATGTTGTATGTCAATTTTCCTAAACAGGGCTTGTTCCTGGTGATTTCATCCATGTAATAGGGGATGCTCATGTTTATAAAACTCATATCAGGCCTCTACAGGAGCAGCTCTATAAACTTCCTAAGCCCTTCCCAGTAAGTATGCAGTATAAATAACAGGATTTGAATTAATTGACCTAACTAAATGTGCTTCACTTTGTAAACATCCTTTGTTCTTTCACAAGTTGTTGGATTCTTTGTTGTTTTTAAACACTGGTCCTATTGCAATGTTGTCAGCTCTTGGTGGAGGAATGCTTACTTGTAAGCTTTTGAACTGACCATTGGAATGGAAAAGTCATCGACTTTCATATTTGATGAAACAATGGAAAATACAGTGAGATTGATGGAACTCAAAACATGAGGTTGCTTGCCTTTTTCATGTGAAACTACAGGCAGTGTCCAACTACTATTCTTGCAATCAGGCTTTAGATGGAGCTGTTTCACTTTTTTCCTTTTATTGAATCTTTATATTCTACTTTTGCAATACAGATTTTGAAGGTCAATCCGCAGAAGACAGATATAGATTCATTCGTGGCAGCCGACTTCAAACTTATAGGTTATGATCCTCACCAGAAGGTAGAAATGGAAATAGTAGTATAGAACTTTAGAGTGATAATTGTTGTTCTTTTTTGTTCAACTGAAGCACGATCCCTGTTATTTTTTGAGGTAATTGGAACTGTTCAATTTGTAATTTGTTTCTTTTGGTTAGTTTTTTTCTTTCTGACTACCTTTTCTATTATTTATCCCATCAAAGCATTTTATACTAATTTTCGTATTGAATACTACGTGTTTGGTGTGCTTGCAATCACTACTACTGGAATCAATCAACAAACCCTCCCCCCTGTGCCTGCTTCCTTTCTTTGATTGTAATACTCATTGTTCTTTGCTGGCACCACATTTGCACATTAGTATATAAGGGGGCTTTTGTTCCCCTGAATGAAGTCATATTACAGAACTTTACTTCGTTGGGAACTGCTTTATTGAATTGTGTTGAAATGGTAGAAAGCTTTTCTCAAACTCTTTCCCATTTTCTTCTTTTTGTATATATGATTTTGAAAATGCATGCAAATATAATGTGACACAGTTGAAATGTATTTTTATAGTCCAAAAGGAACATGAATGGTCAAACATCCGTGCTGTTGAATTTGTGTTGTGTATCGACTGCATATACAAAATGGTTCTCTAGTGTTTTGAAATGTTTCTTTGGTGAAATTGTTGTTCTTATTTTCCTACTTTGTCGGAGCTGGTGCATAAAGATTTGGGTTGGTTTTCAGTGTATGAACTAGACTTGACTTCAATTCTTGGATGCAGCAGCTGTGACTTCTTTAGTTCATGATGGTAAGGCTCATCTGTAAGTAACTAGGAACTAGAATCTTCCTTAACCATTCTCTCCAAAGTGCAAAACGCAACTTTTTTGTCAGGTTGCAGTGTGTAATTTAGGCAATGTAAGCTTCAAATACTATTTGCTCACTTTAATAGCAACTTTGTATTCACTGATTTTCCATGTAGGAAATTATTCTTAGTTACTATTGTAGGATTTATGCGAGTAGTTCTGTATGATTGTGGGAATTATGCAAAAGTAGCAAAAGCTTTAGAAACATGTAACTGGAGCTCGCTCTCTAATATTTCATACCATGTTAACAACGAGTACTGAATGAGCTTCGGAAGAAGCAAACTTCACTTGGCTATGCATACATGACACAGTGCATTCACTTAAACAAATTAAACAAGGAAATGGTATAGTTCAATATTCTTTTACTGAATTAAATAAATGAAATCTCACTCTATACTCGAAAAAAATAAAGTTGTATTTAGTCAAGAATGTCAAAACCCTAAATAACTGTTGCAGGTCTGTTCTCTGCTTCTCTCAATTGTTCTCTCTGCTAGTGCCCTCTAGCTTGAGTTGTTCTTGCTGCATTATTGTTTCATCTTGGTCATGCCGTGTTTCCTTGTTGTGGAGGTGTTTGATGAGATTTTGAAGTGCTATTTCAGCATTGTCATTCTTCATTAGTTGTCCTGCAATCTCAGCAGGCGTAGCTTGAACTTTCATTAACAACTCCTTGATCTCTCCAAATAGCGGGTGCTCTTCTATCTTTAGATAATTAAATGCTAGTGTCTTGAAGCAGTTGAAGGTGCAGTAAGACATGTGAATGTGTAGGTCCATGCGGCCAGGTCGCAACAATGCTGGATCGAGCCGGTCCTTGTGATTGGTTGTAAGCACTATTATCCGCTCATCCCCACAGCTCGACCACAAGCCATCGATGAAGTTGAGCAGTCCAGAGAGAGTAATCTGCAGCGGAAGTCACCAAACAGAGGTCAGTGCTGTTATTGCAAAAGTAACCATCTAAGACAACGCGCATCTGGCATGAAGAAACAACTGAAAGCAAAATGCTTTGATTTGGCTCTAAGTTGAGAGTATGATCGATGGATCCGCACTGGGCCGGCTAATTACTTTTTTGTTATGCCAGGTGTTTGGCATTCCCTTAAAAGATAAAAAGTTAAAAAAGTTACTGAAAAAGTAAAAAAGTTAACACTATTCACATATTTGGACGAAAAAAAAAAAGGCTGAATAGACAGAAAGTAAAAAGATAAAAATGCCCTTGGTTTTGTCCCCTTCCAACAGTGCACTTTTTGGTATAAAAAAAAGAAAAGAAAAGTGTAGCATAGTGCACTTTTTGGTATAAAAAAAAGAAAAGAAAAGTGTAGCATAGTGCACTGACGCAAGACTTCACTGACATGCACGGAAAGTATGTCAGTGCTCAGAAGGATAGGAAGATAATTTTATTAGTTGATATAATATTTTAATACATATTTTTTTCATAAGAAGTCAAAAATTTATTTCAAACATATATATTTTTTTCCTCTACTTGTTTAGCTAAAAAGTCAAAAAGTGCATTTATATAGTTCATTCCAAACAATTTCTAAAATTGACAATAACTACCTTTTCTTTTATTTTTTTTCTTGGGATGCGTGGCAACATGTTGACACAATACACATATGTGAGACATTTTACTTGACATAACATTATAAACATTTTTTGGTATAGCTTCTCCTAGTTTCCTCATGCACCCTCCTTTATGAGCAAGTCATTTGACTTTTCTTTTTTTTAAACTTCTCTTGGGTGACAGCTAAAATTTTACATGTTTTGTGTTAGCAGGTATTTTAATATTATAATGTGTTATAGGTTGGTTTTCTTTTCTTTTTTTCCTTGTTAAGCCTTCCAAGTCATCCAAGGTCTTGGTCTTAGTCTCCATAATTTATCCACCAATCTTATCTTATCCAAGTCTTGGTCAAGTCCACCAAGACTTATTCATTCCTTGTCTTCATCTGTTTCTTCCCCACCAAGAACTTGTCTAACTAATTTTGATTTCTATATATATATATTAACTTATGTCCTATCTTTGGAGACATATAAGAGAGAAGAAGTTTTGGTTGTGTTGTTATGTCTTGAGTGAGTGAGATTATCAGGCAAATAAAAAGGGTATGTGAGATAAAGCTTTGGGTTCAACCAATTGTGCAGTATTGGTGAACCATACCACTTAGTCGGGCTGTTGAATTCTGGGGGACAAGTCAAGGTTTTTCTGCTACACCGGTGTGAGGCATTGCCTAACCGCAGAGGGCTTGAATCTCCTTAAAGAGAGCGAATTTCGCGCGCCTCAGCTCTTATATTAATTGTTGTAACTTTTATTTTGTTTATTATCTAGTGTTTTATTTGTAAGTATCACTAACATTTTGTTATTGGGATCACTTATAATTTTTATTTTTATTTTTTGTCATTCTATACACATTCTGTGTCTCTGTCCGGTTCTGTGTTTTGTAAAATTTATCTGTGCTATTTGCCAACTTATACATATAGTGTAGGAGCCTAACCTTGTCATCCTCAACCGTTCTGCCTTCACTCTCCGCCTCCGGATTCTGCACCCCAACATTACAATCAATGTCCTGGATCACAAGTATGGACCGGTTTGCCGAACCAATCAGCAACCTTCTCAAATCCGAATTGCACTGCACTTCCCTCAGATCCAAGTCATATACATCAAAGTTGAGATAATTCGCCATAGCCGCAACCAAACTCGACTTCCCCGTCCCAGGCGGCCCGTAAAACAAATACCCTCGCTTCCAATCCTTCCCAACCCTCCTATAGTAATCCTTCCTACTAACAAACCGATTTAAATCCTCCATCAACTCCATCTTCATCTCTTCATCCATCGCCATCGTATCAAACGTCGCCGGATGATTTAAAGCCACCGAGCTCCAATAATCGGTCCCGTTGTAATCAACCGTGTGTAATCTGACCGCCTTTCTCTCCTCTTTAATCGCCTTGGCTTGTTCCAATATATGATTTAAGTAAACATTTAACACCATATCTTTGTGTTTCTTATGAAAGCTCAACTCGAAGAATCGCAGCTCCGTTCTGGCATTATCGGCTTTGGATGATGACGATTTGATTGCTGTGGACTGTAGAATCCATTTGAGCTTCACGTTTTGGAAGAGATCGACAATCTCTTGTGTAAAATAAATTGATGTATATTATTTATTGTTTTTGTGTATTATGTATATTACAAGGATTCCTATTATATAGGAGAGGATTTGGGAGTAGGTGAGGAGTAGGTGTAGGTGGTAGTGGAGGTGGTAGGTGGAGTGGGTGGTAGTGGTAATTTACATTTACACAATTTACATTAACAGCCCCCCTCAAACTCAAGGAGGATAGGCACTAGCCAACTTGAGTTTGGAGAGAGTCACAAAACAAAAAAATAAACTGATAAATAAAATAAAACAGGATAGGAGACACGGTATGGTCGTGTCAGACCGATGTAGCAGACAGTTTATGGGGTCATGTCGGACCATTGTAGCAGACAGTTTACGGGGTCATGTCGGACCGTTGTAGAAGACAGTTTACGGGGTCATGTCGGACCGATGTAGCAGCTGACCGGAATCAATGTCGGGACAGTTTATGGGGTCATGTCGGACCGTTGTAGAAGACAGTTTACGGGGTCATGTCGGACCGATGTAGAAGATAGTTTATGAGGTCATGTCGGACCGATGTAGCAGGACAGTTTACGAGGTCATGTCGGACCGATGTAGCAGGACACTGTGTGGTCGTGTCAGACCGATGTAGAAGACAGTTTATGGGGTCATGCCGGACCGTTGTAGCAGATAGTTTATGGGGTCATGTCGGACCGTTGTAGCAGACACTGTGTGGTCGTGTCAGACCGTTGTAGAAGACAGTTTATGGGGTCATATTGGACCGATGTAGCAGTTGACCGGAATCAATGCCGGGACAGTTTATGGGGTCATGTCGGACCGATTGTAGCAGACACTGTGTGGTCGTGTCAGACCGTTGTTGAAGACAGTTTATGGGGTCATGTCGGACCGATTGTAGCAGACACTGTGTGGTCGTGTCAGACCGTTGTTGAAGACAGTTTATGGGGTCATGTCGGACCGATTGTAGCAGACACTGTGTGGTCGTGTCAGACCGTTGTTGAAGACAGTTTATGGGGTCATGTCGGACCGATGTAGCAGCTGACCGGAATCAATGTCGGGACAGTTTATGGGGTCATGTCGGACCGTTGTAGCAGAGGTTGTGGTGATGCACAGTGCGCCATGAGCGACTTATACATGATACTGTATATAACCCCCCCTCAAACTTAAATAGGTGTGAAGATAAAAACCTATTTGAGGTTGAAAAGGGATTGATAAAGCTGACCGGTGTAGAAGACACTGTATGAGTGTGGATAATGTGATGATGGTTTTGGGTGGAGAATATGTGAGAATGGAAAAAGGGTTATATAATAAAGTGCTCTCTGGCCGGAAGAGAAAAAGGTAGTGTTGTGTATGTTGATAGTTTAATAAAATATGAGAGAGTGGGTATTAATTCGGCCAAAAAGGAAGAGAGAGAGTTATTTTGAGAGAGATAGTCTGTAACACTCTGTTGCGAGAGATATTCTGTAACACTCTGTTGCCCAGAAAATGGCTTCGTCGTCCCGTGGTCTGCTGACTCTCTTTCCCGACCTCAACGAGTCAACAAGAGAGATAACGGGTGCGGTGGCCAGTGAAACTCAACCAAGCGCTTCCGATTTTGCTCCGTTGAACTTTTCGATGCGGTCTGTGGAGCAAAAAATGGCGGTGCAGTCGAATGTGGAGGCCAATCAGTATACGTTGAAGTCATGTGTGGAAACCATGACGGCGGTCACAAACTTGTCGCACCGGCTGCAGAGTAGGACAAATGAGGTGCAGCAGTTAAACTCCCAGCTGGCTCTGCTCCAACGCATGTATAAGGATGCGCGAGCAGAGATAAGTGTGCTGAAGGCAGAAAATAAGGAGCTGAAGCGAAAGGCCACCGTGATGTTCCGATTTGGAGGGCCGCCATATGCTGCAGGGGAGGAGCAGGGAATAGTGATCATGCCCAGTGGAGTGGGAAACACGGAGGCAACACCGGCAAGGGCCACCCAGGACGGAGGCAAGAAGAAAAGACCGGCGGCAGAGTAGAGAAGAAAAATCCCGACTGTGGATGAGGTTGTTGTTGTTGTGTTTTTTTTTGTTTTTTTTTTATGTGAAAGTGTGATCGGGGTTGATCCCCGGATATGAATAAAATGACAAGGTTGTGGAATGTTGTTGGTGTTATTTGGTGGTGTTGTTGTGTTGAATAAAAATAAAATAAAAGAAAAGAAACAATGGATAAAGAAAAGAGAGAAAAAAAAAAATATGGGTGATGGGTGATAAGAAAACAGCAGTGTGCATGTCGTCTTCTTTCTTCTGTTTTTTTTTTTTTTTGTTTGTTTGTTTGTTTTTTTTTTTGGATAAAATAATAATAATAAGAAGATAGTGGTGGCGTTATTTGAAAAACAAAAGGTAGTGGATGGCAATAGTAAAAGAAAAAGAAAGGAAAAGAGAGGGTTTAAAGGGAGAGAGAGAGAGAGAGAATATTGCATTCAAAGGGTTTGGTTTGGGCCTCGATTTGACAGTTAAGGTAACGGTAGTGGAAGGCTTAGTTGTTTTCTTGTTGGAGGGAGTGGCAGCGGCGGAGGTAGTTCCGATGAGATGCTGGAGGCGGTAGTAGAAGGGCCATTTGGATGGAGAAGGCTTGGATTTCTCGAGCTTGTACTTCTTCTTGAGAGTGTCGATGCGGTTCTTGCACTGGATGTCGGTGCGGCGGGGCTTGAGGCCGTTCTGGCGGGCGTTGACCGCGTCAGCAACTTATAATGATATCTTCGGAGCATTGTTTATAGGCCACACAGACCAAACTCAGCCACGTTAATCTCATCTGAGCTTTTTTATTAAATCCAATTCTATCAACCTCATGAAACAATACGGACCTCAAGAAATTGATCCAAAATTGAAAGGGTATTAGAACGGAACGTAGAACAACTTATGCATCAGACAGTAACCAGAGTTGTATGAAAGCTAGGTAGATCCTTCCATGCAAATTTTAGATCTATAATGGTATAGTAATGTGGAAGTTTAAAATATTGCCATAATGACAATTCATATAACACAAGAAGCCATGTCAGAGTACATACATCTACAAGTGGTCATATAATTACACTAAAAGTCAAAGGTTATGTAAGAAGTTAGGAGATCTAAATTATTCCAATATTACAAAATAGATCTAACCAGAGCAGGCTGAGCAGCCAACTTTCAGAGAGAAATCTATCAAGATGAAGCATCTCTTCCCTCCCAACTGAATCAATGGAGACATGTACAGTTATGCAACTGAGATAGAGGAAGCTAGGGTATGTGTAGAGGTCCGGCGGGCGGCCAAGGCGAGGCTGCCGCCCGCCGGTGAAGCAGAATGAACAAGTTCTTAACCTTGCTCTGATACCATGTAAAATAAATTGATGTATATTATTGATTGTTTTTGTGTATTATGTATATTACAAGGATTCCTATTATATAGGAGAGGATTTGGGAGTAGGTGAGGAGTAGGTATAGGTGGTAGTGGAGGTGGTAGGTGGAGTGGGTGGTAGTGGAGGTGGTAGGTGGAGTGGGTGGTAGTGGTAATTTACATTTACACAATTTACATTAACATCTTGGTTTCTGTCGACGGTGACGGAGAGTTGTTCGTCTTTATCGAGCTTGTTCACTTTGATTCGGCGAGTCGAAGATGAGAGCTTGGTGCCTTGGTAAATGTTGGCGGCGTCGAACATGGTGTTGGAGGTGAGGCCTTGGAAGTCTTCGATGACGACGGTGAGTTGGGAGGAGAGGCGGTGGGAGAGTTTTGAGAGGGATGAGAAGAAGTAGTCGTGGATTTTGGCGGGGATGAGATCGGTGGCGATGGTGCGGAGAAGGACGGCGGAGGCGGTGAGAGACGCCACCGCCGATAAAACGGTGGTGCAGGAAGGTAACGTTTCGCGTGAAAACACCATTTTTTTTTAATAAAAATAATAATCTTAATTGATTAGAGAAATTTATTTTGTTAGATATTGTTACTAGTGTTTGAGGCAGTTTCTTTTCCTCGTTGGAGATTTTGGAAACTACGGTTTGGAGATTTTGGAAACTACATTGGGTTTGGTTTATGAATTTATGTTTGGTTTATGAGTTAAGTAAAAATTTAAAAGAAAAAAAATATATATGTAAAATATAATTATATTTTATTTATTTTTAAAATTTTTATTTAAATTTCTAAACCAAACATTGGTTAGGATTTTTGATAATTTATCTTAAAACGTGATTCATTAAAAAAAAAAAAAAAAAATTAAATTAAAAGATTATCACAAGTGTCCTTAAAAAAAATCAATTTAACCAAATTGTTGCTTAAGAAATTTTAAAAGTGTAATTGGCTTTTTAAAAGAACAATATTAGGAATGGCAACGGGTCGGGGCGGGGCCGGGGACCATCCTCCCCGTCCCCGATCCCCGAAGATTATAAAATCTCCGCCCCCGATCCCCGGCGGGAGAGCCCATCACCCTTCTGTCCTCGTCCCCTAACGGGGATCGGGTTTCCCCGACCCCGAAAGATCCCCGAGCTTTTTTTTTTTTTCAAATTTTGTTCAACAAAACACTGACTAATCAATATAATATCACAAATCAACAAACCAGATCTGAGTACAGATCAATTTTGTGAACAATACAGGTCAATTTTGAACAATACAGATAATTAAACAAATTAAAAAAAATTATTCTGAACAACACAGATCTGAGTACAGATCAACAACAACAACATCAGATCAGAGAGAGAGAGAGAGGACAAATCTAACAGATCGACAGCGTTGGCGAGATCGACGGTGACGGTAGCTGTGGCGGGGCCAGCGGTGGTGGTGGTGATGTCTCCATGACTATGAGAGAGCTGAGAGAGAGAGAGAGAGAAGAACGAGAGAGTGAGAGGTAACAACGAGAGAGTGAAGACAGTGAGAGAGTCGAGAGAGAAGATACGAGTGAGAGAGTTGAGGAGGGCGGTGGAGGAGCGGTGCTATCAGATCGGCGGAGGACGACGGCGAAGGAGATCAGTGTGTGAGGAAGTTGTGACTTTCTTCTCTCTCTCTTTCTCTCTTTCTCTCTTTCTCTCTCACGCGAATGAAGCTGTGTGTTTGTGTGATTGTGTGAGGAAGGAGACGGGGATTATAGTAATATATATAGACAAGGGTATTATAGTAATTTTATTTTGGGGAGAAAACCGGGGACGGGGATGGGGATGGGGACGGGCCGGGTCCGGGGCTATGAAAGCTATCCCCGTCCCCGGCCCGAAACTAATTGGGGATTTAATTTCAAATACCATCCCCGTCCCCGCGGGGATATTTTTCGGGGAAAAACCATTGTGATTTGGGTCAGGGGTTCGAGTCCCCGTCGGGCCGGTTTCAAATTGCCATCCCTAATCAATATAGATTTGTTTTGCTGTGGCTTGAAAATCTACTTCTTGATCAAGGCCTCGTTTGAAAAGTAATAGTTTTTGTTTAAAAATCAAAAAATTATTAAAAAAATTAGAAAACTTATAACTTATACGAAAAAGTTAAAGATTTCTATTTTTTTTTTTAATCTCATATTTTAGCTAAAATTTAAAAAGTTACTAAAATAACCTATTTCCAAACGAGGCCTAAGAGTATTATTATTAAATTCATTAGAGTCTTTTCTAGGCTATTTTATAGTACAAAATTATAGAAACACATTTTATCAAACTCAATTATTAGTTAGTTAGCTACTTTAATTGAATATCAAATCACTAGTTATATGTAACTAAGGAAATTTTAACAAATGAAATAAAAAATAGAGAGTTTGTTGAAGAATGTATTTGAAAAGATGGTTAGCTAAAATAAAAAAATAGACTTTTAGTTAAAATTTAATTAAACAATTTGATTATTTTGATGGAGATGTTCTAAGAAAATTATTTTTGCTAAAAAATCTTAACCTTATTTGAAAGATTTTTCTACCAAAAAAACTCATTAGGAATTTGTTTTAATATTTTTTTTAGCATTAGTTATTTTGTAAGTTTATTTTTAGTCAATAAACTAACTTTTTAATTAATTTCTAGCAGAAGCTTTAGTCTATGTTTGATTGATGGATTTGGAAAAAGATTTAGAAAGAAAAAATAAAAAGTCGTGTGAAATTAAGTGAAATGTAAAGTATATTTTATTCATATTTCATCTACTTTTTTTCCTTATTGTTTCTAAATTCCTTCTCAAATCCCTAACCAAACATACCATTAAAGAAATTATCTTTGGAAAGTGTTCAAAAATCACAATTGGCACCTTCAAAAATGATTAAAAGTAGAATTTGCCCTCTAACATGTGTTAGAAATGCAATTTGTTTAGGGGACATTGTTGCAATTGAATTAATTTTTTTAAAAGCAAAATTGTTCCAATTGATTTTTTGGAATGCCCAATTACACTATTAAACATCTTTTAGGAATAATTTTTTACAATCAAATATGGGATTCTAAGGGTTGGGATTCTATACTGCCAAACAAGGAATTAGAAAATGTTGTAATGGCTTTTTCGGTGTAGATTGCAGATCTATGGGAGAAAAGTGAAAGAAGTTTCTACCACAGATGACATTGCTACGAAAGAATCTAAAAATATATCTTTGATATTAACTCTTAACTCTTAAAATTTAAAGTTTACTTTGTAAAGAAAATGAAATAATTATTTTAGAATAAGAAAAACCATTTTGATTCTTTTGCTTCAGATTGTTGTATATGTTTAAGCCCATATTTAGGAGAGTCCCAAACCCATAAAGGCCCATCGGGCTCGACCATCTAACTTGGGCCTAAATTTGGGCTGAGCCTTTTTAGACCGCAAAGGATGGGACTTTGTTGAGGAGAATTGTCTGCATCATCTTCTTTAGCCCAATTGAAAATTTTCAAACTAAAACTTGCCAGAAATTCACGGCCACAAGGGTATGTTGATCATGCTCAACACATACTGTTTCTTGATGTTTTGAGTCATTGTAATAAAAGGTTAATAATGTTAGATAGTGTTTGGTTTGGTAGAATAATTTTGAAAAAAATGGAATAACTTTTTTCTTAAATTGATTAATTGTGTTTTCATTTAGAATATACATTTCATTCGGTGAACTAAATACTACATTAGGATAACTATTTGTATTCGCATTCTGCTGCTGCATGTATTTTTACAACATGGCAGATTGTAGTGTGTGTTCCAAGCAGGTCTCAAAATTCTTAGTAATGATTGGATGGTAGATTAAGATTCGGTAGTGTATTCATGTCTAAATATTTGCAGTTTTTTTTTTAATTTGCTTGTGAAAACCATTTTATATACTTTTTGGTTCAACTTGGAACATTTGGATGAGTTGGTTTCCAAGACAAAACGAAAGAGGTTTGTTTGGTACCTAGGGGTTTATACATATCGCTGAGCTAAACCACTACAGGGGCTTTAGTAAGCTCGTAAATCTGGTTTGGTGTGTTATTGGAACTGTGTACCCAAGTGAAAGTGTGCAACTTTAATTTGAATTATACACAATAGTAATCAGATTGACTGGATTTGTATGTCTTAAAAGCATTTTTATTTGAATTCCGGCATTGTCCTTTATTCTTGTTCTTTTTCTTTGTCTTTGTCTTTTCTTTTTTTTTCCTGTCTTTGACTTTTTAAGGAAAAATATGTATTAAAAAATTGTATAAATTAGTATGTAGGGGAAAATTAGGATTAGGAGTTGTGTAGCCGTAATTTTTAACTTTTGGTGAATAGTGATAACTTTTTAACTTTTTGAATAATTTCTTGACTTTTTTTTAACTTGCCAAACTTGGCCTTATTAGCCTAAAAATATTGATTTGGTGTAAAAATGTGTAACAGTGAAAAAAGCAGCTTTTTTTTTTTTTAAGTCATATTATCCCTCTATTGTTTTATACTTTTTAAAAAAAAGTTTAAAAAATCAGTTTATGAAGTAGGTTGAATTTGGACGTCCTCTAATGCTGTGTTTGGTTGAGGGATTTGGGGAGTGATTTGGAAAGGAAAAGAGAAAGGGAAAAGGTGTGTGAAACTATGTGAAATATAGGCATAATTTATTCACATTTCACCTACCTTTTCTATTTCTCTTTCCAAATCCCTTCCCAAATCCCCCAACCAAACACAGCATAAATCTCCAAGTTATTTTGATGGATATTATATATCATTTTAATCAATAGCCATGTGAGGGTGATAGAGTCATACCCAAAAATATCGGATACGCAATTTATGAAACATTTGAGAATAGACGAGGTTGAGATGTCGTTTTTTAATGGGTATGGATGGATCAATCCTACATAATTAATTCAAAAATAATAATAATATTGATAGTCCCCAATACTCTAAACTCCAAAGATTTGACTATCCCTTTCAAAGTCTTTTTCCTTAGAAAAGTTCAAAATGAGCTTTTCAACAATAGACTTCTCAATATTTTAGAATTGTTAAATTCAATGTCAAATCTTCAAATAGTAGCCTAATAATTTGTCAATATCAGGACACTTGTCAACAAAGCGGCAAATTTTTTATTTTTAATAATATTTTTCACGCGATGAGAATCCAAAGCTAATGATGCCCCCACATTGTCACATTCATGCAAACCTTGTATATTCAACCTTGTTGAACATCTAGGTTCTTTTGTACAACATGATAAATAAAGAAAAATTATAAAATTAGCTGGGAAAAAATATTCCTACCTACCATTGGGGTCCAGTGGTGGTTTACAAGATATAAGAGGAGAAATGAAATAAAATGAAAAGTCAATGGGGTCTCCTTTTGAAAAGTCACAATACTTTTAATTTCTTTTATTATCATTATTACTAAAACCATTTATTTCTCACATGTGCTTGAACATAACTCATTCCAAGTTCAAAAGGACACAACTTGTCAAAGGCTTTAATGTTAATGAACTGGAAATGTAAGAAGTTGCACTTTTTTTTTTCCTTATATCCAAAAACCCCTTGATATTTCCTACTTATTATTTCTGCTCTAAAATATTAACAGAGACACATAAAGATACAATATCTAATCGATAAATAAATATATACGTAGGACTACAAATGAATCAAAACATAGCTCGATTCATTTACAAAAACTTATTGGATTGTGAACCGAGTTAAACTCAAACTAAAATAAGCTCAACTTGATTATTATATATACATATATAATAATATAAATGAATGAATGATATATGTATACTATAAAATAAATTAAAAATTAAAATGTATATAATAATATATGCTTTTACTTCCTATTCGAGTTTTTAGCAAAGCTTGATTGTGTATTCGAGATGAGATCAAGTTTGAATTCGAGCATGATTAATAAATGAGTCAAGCTTCAACCGTACAGTACTCTGTTCGGCTAAGTTTGCATGCAACTCTATCTATATATATCAGAATTATGAAGGAATAACATTTAGTTTCATGGTAGAAAAAGAACAAAAATGTGTTCACATTCAGAGTAAGTCATTATATTGAAGAAAGATCCTAAACTAAAGAGTAATGATATGCAAACAGAAAATATATACAGAATGATATGACAAAGTTGAGCCTATCATTTAAAAAAAAAAGTAAAAAATATTCACCAAGATGCTCCATTCTAAACAAAATGTCACTATCATATCATTCTTGTAAATGATTCTGTTTGAAATTTCTAAAAGAAAAACATTTTATCGTCCTCCTATCTACATATTGAATAATATGAAAAGAACTATTTACGGGCTCAGCAACGTCAAAAAGCATTTCAGAGTCTAGACAAGAGTTGTTTATGCCACATACTGAGACCTATGAGCAAATGTATTCAGCTCAAAGTATTGTTACACAACACATGAAACTTGAGGAAGAAATTGTCGATATTGCAGAAGAAACCATGTTGGGGAGGATCTTCTATAAAACATACATGAAACATTGGCCTCGATCATAATTTATAGAATGTTACAGCGATTGTAATAAGCATCGTCGTTAATCACGTACCAAACATCGCATCTCTGGCATGTCTTTGGAAGGGAAGGAATTTTCTCATCTTTCTTCTCATCCTTCTTCTCATCCTTTGCAGGACCTACACTCATGATCTGTGCAGATTTTCTGAATTTCCTCACCTTGTTAATGATGCACGCAGGATCAGCTTCCCCAATCACGGTCACCGTGAATTTGGCCGGGTCAAGGACAATAGAGTTTATCCCTTCTATTGTTGAAATTAATTTCATGACCTTCACCCTGCATTTGGAACAAAGCAGATCCACTGACACTACTGTTTTCTGCAACAGAAGTACTGCAAAGTGTCAGTATGGAGAGGAGGTTTGAGAAGTGATAAAAGAATAAGCATAACAGACCCCTGCAAAAAAAAAAAAAAAAAAACATAAAACAGTATAGCAATATAAAAGACTCGGATTTCATGGAGATGAGATGACAGAACCTTCGACATGGGTATGGGTAGTGAGTTTACTAACTGGGCTGCAAGAAAGTAGAGGCTGCAGTGAATGTCATGTATTCGGTCCAGAGATGCTATTTATAAATTGCTCTACTGCTCTGGCTTTATTAGCTTGGTAAATTGTTAAACACAGTTTTTATTGCAAAAAATATACAAAATACAGCATGACAGCACTTGATTAATCTTCAATGAGGCCCACACTCCACGATAAATGCAGTGCTTTGTGACATTTAGTTCTAATTTGTTATCACTTTTCATTTTTTTCCTTGGCATATTCAGATAGGCATTTGGTTGAAAGACTAAATGGGGTAACAGTGTGTGTTGGTGACCAGAAGTAAATGCTAGTCAGAAAGCTCTTGATTGGGCACCTATTACCCCATGTGCATTTAATTCGTCTCTCTCTCTCTCTCACACACACTCACAGGCGTGCTCGCAGAGCAGAGGCATACCCACGTCCACTACAGTAAAAAACATGGCTTCACATATCTCCTTTCAAATGACATCATATACAATAGTTTTAGACAAGTGAAACTACTCGATTTCTTGTTTCATGTTAAATGAAATCCTATGCAATTATCTTAGATAAGTGAAACTACTCTATTTCTAGTTTCATATGCTTCATTTCGCATAAAAAGAAATCCACTCACGTGGTTGTGTATACAGAAAAAATTCCAGTTAGATATACATCCCCATTCATGTCAATCAAAACCAAGGTATGTGCTACACACAAATAAACAAGCATATACATATCTTACTCAATATTAAAGAATTTACCGAAGACAATTTTAAATAATATGGAAATTATTCTTTCCGGTTCACGTTTGTGTAAATGTTGTGTTAGAATTTCCCATCTTTACCTTCACCTACTCCACTACACACTCCACTTCACTTACCTCCACTTCACCACACACTCCACTTCACCTAACCCACTATCACCTCCACTACACCTACTACCACATTTTCTTCTATATATAGATTGTATAGGAATTGTAATTGATCAATCTTGTAACAATCAATCAATCAATAATACTTGAATTGTAACATGTTGTTCTAATCCTAACATATCTGAGCTATGTGGAAGCAACATTCAAGGCATATCAGCCATATACTAGTAATTATACTCAAAGGAGCTAGTTTTGGTGGTGCATTACCTCACCTGAACATACTATGATACAGTGTACAGACAATCTTAACTGGTTCTGAACTAGGCTGTTTACAAGGGAAGGCAATATAGCAAGTTGATATTCAGACCCATAGATTTGGGGAAAAGAAGTCAGACAATTGTACATTCACCTTTATGAAATGTACCCAACTCAACCAACTTTGTTACCTATTAAAGTCTTTTCTGGATGTAGTGTAGTCAAAAGTACATTTTACAAAAGTGAGAGAGAGAGAGACCTCGAGTAAATAGCTCAGGAGCATTAGAGGTGATCAGCTGCTGCTAGACTGCTTCCAATTATTGGATCATTCTGCCAGGCTAATTCCCATACTGACGCTTGCTCAGCAGCCTCGGCCATGATGCATTGAAACCTTAAATATCAATTGCTCTTCCTGATCCAAAAACTCACTCCAGCATTCAGCATTCTGATTCCATGCTCTGTCAAGGCAGGTCACTAGTACATTGCTCTATATTTGCATTAAAGTGCACTCAAAAGTACAGAGTTCACTCGATCCTATTTCTAACAATTAATTGGTAAGACAATGAGAGATAACATAATTGCATTCTTAAACAATATATTTTGATAAACAACCTGTTCATGCACAAGCTTTTATTGAACCATAGCTTTCCATCAGCTGAATGAAATTCTGAACTTTTTAGACCAAAGGGTACATTTGTAGTCAGTCACTAAAATGAAAGAGAAAAAAGATAACTTCATAAAAGTGTAGATGGCAGTTTAGCATACACATCCAAAGAAGCTTACACACCAAATCATTCGTTCCGAGAGGCCACAAATCAACCTTCAAGGGCAATGCTATCAGCGTGCCTCTATAGTCTCTGAGATAGCTCTCACTCTTGTTTCCAATTTTCTGCATATTCGCGTTTATATATGTATAATAGTGAGCTTTATATTGGTGTAAATATTTTGCCAGGGCCACAAATTGTGCATACATACACAATAAATTATTTCCAACACTTTGATTAAAAGGCTCCATGCCAACCCACAAGGTAGAATTTTCAGCTCAAATACACCATATATTCAACAAAGCACAAATTTATTTGGAATAAGTCAAAAGAGTACACTATGTTACAGTACAGTATATTACAACAACAAAAACTTACACCTTACAGAGCTCAACTTCATGGCTGAAGGATAAAAGTTGAATTACAAAAGATCACAGATCTGACAAGTATGGTTGCTAATTGAGTTTGTAAGAGCTCACCAAAAATTTAAAACTAGTTTTGCAGTGAATTCTGCTTAGGAAATTGATTTCACCAGGAAAAGGTAAATCAATTTTCTTGCAGTTCAGTATCACCCACCACTTCCACAAGGTTACTAAAAAATCCAGCTGTATAAATAAATTGGTCATGTGGGTTCAAGATGGAAAGGTACTGAAGTAGTTGATATGTCACTCTCATTGTAGCAGAGGAAGAGTCTGATATAATATGTCTCTTTCTCGTTGAGTTTCTTATTAAGCTCCCATAACTGCAACATCACAATAATATTGTCATTAATAATCCCCTTATGTCATCTAGTAGCACTTGTTTAGAACAGTATTCCAACTTAATAATCTTAATAACATGTCAAGCAAATTCCAACCTATAATCATTTCCATAAACAAGCACTACGGTTAAGGAAATGTTTTCATGGAAAAATAAGATCCATAGATGCCCATGTCCTAAGAGAGACTTCAAACCTGCACCTCCCCTCTGCTAGTGGCAAGAGATGCCGGTGAAGCTAATAGCCAGTGGTCACAATGTACAATCAAAGTTAAACTACAATAGAGATACTACAAATAAATATAGCTCACCCAGATGGAAACCTTGCACGGGCAAAAGGAATATCAAAGGAAGCAAGAAGTTAAAAATATATATATATATATATATATATGTATCAGACATGTAAAAATGAGTATCAGCATGTGTCTGAGAGTGTCCAAGGAGTGTTGATTTCCAAGATACGCCACCTTCTTAGAAGGGTTTGTGTTTTTTAGTTCAGGAGTAATACTACACTTTCAAAATCTAGGCTTTTGAATTCTTACAAATTGTCTATATTCAGAGTTTTGGATCCTAGGCATTAGAAGTCGAGTAAAGCTGATGTGGAGAGCATAGGAAAAAAATCGCTCAGCATGAAATCCACTAACATTTCCAACACAGACACAGACACAGACACACACAAACACACACGCACACAACTAAAGATACTGACACAGAAAGATTTCTTAAACTACTACATGTTACCAGCAGGATCTCCAGCATGAGAAACATCTTCCATGGTGTTGGACTGATCTGAATATGCAGTTCTATTAGCATCAATGCTCACAACTTTTTCCGCTTGATGCTTTCTGTTCACCACTTGAGTGTAGAAGCTGACTATCTGCTTGTCTAATTCATAGTAGTGTTCCATCTTCTTCAATGGTCTCATATCCAGGTCAATAAAAGATGCCTAATAACTTACAACTTATGTTAGCTATAAATATGGCAGGAAAAAGGCACTACGCTTTGTAAAAAATCAACTTCTACGTTAGAAATTTTGATGGTTTAAGAACCTAGTAACCTGCTGATGTATCATAGCAATACTCAATGAGACCATCAGGAGATAAATTACTACCTTGTATCTAAAAAAAATAAAAACCCAAAGTATACTTCAATATACCAATAAATTAAAACAAATGCAAAAAGGGGATGATTTATCAAGTTGTATCTGATACATTTTTCTTTAATCTTTGTTTTTTTGTATCATATTAAAATAAGTTAATTCTAATTAATGCAGAATTTCCAAATTTCAAGAAATGATATCTTTTTCTTTTGGGGGGGTAAAAAATGACTCAAATTTGTAAGCATTCCATTCTACAGTTGAACTCATTCAGCCCAAACACCTCTGACTTTGTTTGACACCAGCCACACAAACTAAAATTTTAAATGATAGATCTGGATATGATGCATACCTTGTAATCAAAACTTTGTTTGGTTGATTCAAGAAATACACCACTATATGGAGATTTCACATCCCCATCTTCCCTAGATCTAAAACAAATCATAATACTCAAGTCCTTCGCAGTTGCAGCTATCAAATAGTCCCTTACAATCTTCAAGCTTTCATCCAAAGGCATTGAATGCAAATAGGTATACATGTTTGCCAATTTGTCTTCACCCAAATCTCTACACACCATACAAGGCTGGGAAACAATGTCATAATAAGCATGAATCGCCCCTTCTATGTCAAATATATCAAGCTTCTGGACTTTGAGAAGGCGATCTAGTAATCCTGATTGGAAAACAGCTTCAGTAACAAGGTGTAGGAAATTCATTGTACGTAGGCCATCATTTGCCCGAATCACACACTTGAGTACATCTTCAAATGCTTCACCAATCATACAACTAGTACTATCTGCCCCACCACCCAAGCCCCCAAATATGAGGGAACCATTCAAGAAAACACGGAAATTGTTCTGAGGAGTAACAAAGAGAGCCTTCATTGCATTATGTACTCTGTCATTGGATCCAGAGAACATGTCAAGTGGATCATATTCACTTATTTCTGATATCTGAAAAAAACATGAACATGTTTGAGCCAGAAACTTACAAGAAAAATAAAAAAGTGTTGCTTAAGATTCTAGATGAAATCAGGCTGAAATTAAATGGAACAGCATGGACTCCCATCAGACCAAAGCCATATACGATACATGAGATTGGTCATCCAGAAATGCACTAGAATTAAAAGATTCTTCCTTTTATAGCTTAGCCTCAAGAATAAATAGTAGAAGAAAGGAAAATTACCTCTCTATGATGCAATTTCAATGACTGATGCATTTTAAAACGAGATATACTCTTTTTAACAGCATTTTCCTCGGATATAAATCTGGAAACTGGAAGAAATCCACATTTTGGCTGCTTTTTAGAGAGAAGAAGAAATTAAGGAAAAAAGTAGAAACATATTAGATAACTATGGTGGTAAATCGTTGACCAAAGGTTAACAACAGCCAACAAAAAGATATGAAACCAAAGATGTTGATTGAAGGAAAGCACCTTTATCTCAACAGATATGCAGAATTCACCTTTAAGATTACCTGGAGGAAAAAAATCATGATGCCACTCATATATCATATATACCAAAAACAAATCTATGTTTCGACATTATGTGATGGAAAATTTACTACTTGCTTTTACAATGCCTATCTTCTCTGTTAACATTATAAGAGCTTTTCAGAAATTCAAATTGAAGTCATATGCATGCATATTCTCCCATGAAGACACAAGTCATGTCTTCTTAAAGCACATAATATGATTTACATTTATTCCAGTAATTTCATAGCTCACTACACTTTTTCAACCATCAGTGGTTTCTTTTGTTATGCATTTAAACACAAGTTTAGTTGCTAAAAGTTGTACTTGAACTTTTTATTCCTCAAAGTGCGTACTACTTTTATCATTCCAATAAAGGGGAACGAATTATTGTGCCTATTGACTGTTGGCTGCATCTAAGCAATATTTAATAGTATTCTTCCTGGTCAAAGTTTTGCTCAAGAATATCTGGTTTCCTGAACATTGAACTAGAACAGCATTTTTCCCTAATAAATGTTTGCTTACTAAAAAATAAGATGCTGCTCTTGAGCACAGATTCTTAGTTATTTTTATCAATGAATGAATGTTTACAATAATAACACAATTTCCAGAAAAACATGAGGTGATTGGCTTGTGATGATGATACTTCAAGAAAAAACAAAAAAAATATGGAGTCATTACTTATATGTGACGTGTATATGTGAATATTATAAACAAGGTCTACAAATGCAGTTTTCACAGACTAGATGCAAAATATCAGACTAGACTATTCCCACCAATGCTTTAATGAAATGTGGTTTCATGTCACAACTCAGTCGTATAATTAAAATATTTACGTCTGCATTCTCTGAATAAATATGTTGTATGTTTTCTGCCATCAACGGCTCTACTGCTAGGAATGATCTGAACTATTTGGCAAGTACATAAGTTGCAAGTCAAACACTTACTTCTTCAACAAATTAAAAATAATCGTTTAATACAGATTTATTGGTGACTAACAATTAACTCCCAAATTGGGTTTTGACTTCCACTGCTAGTTATGTGATAAGTGAATATCCCATTACTTCATTCTAGTGTGACTACATCCATATTGCAAGATGCCTTTTCATTTGACATAAGGGGGAAGAAGCAGACTTTATCAGAGGCAACTAAAAGCAGGGATGCGCAAAACATAAGCCTAACCCAAAATTAAACAGTTGTTAGACAAGAGGCCATGTTTCTTACTTTCTTAGAATGACACTGATCACAAGTGGGAGACACACACTAGTAAAATTATGCTACAAGGAGCTTACCATTCATAGTGCAAGCAGAAGATATTATTTGAAAACGCTCAAGAGATGGTAATTACCACGGGGGAAAACTGAATGATCAGATATAACAAGTGCAGAATTACAAAGGGTGTTGACCTTGGCAGCATCAACTCGCGAAGCAGGACGCTGACAAAGAACATTCTTTTCAACCAACTCTAGAAATTCCTGGGTTACAAGGACACGAATCTGCCAAATACGGAGGAAACAATAATCAGAAATGTTAATGATGTCCTAAATGATCATAATGATCCCAAGGTAACAGAAAAATAACGAATCTTTATGCAGTTTTCTTATAACAACTCCATACAGTCAACATGTATATAACTTTTCAAGTAACTGCCCAATTCCACATTTCTAGTGCATGAACCACAAGATTTAATCCCTTTCTAGCGTTTCCTTTTAATTGACTGTAAAAAGGACCAAAGCATATGCGTGTGTCATATAACAGGTTAACATATGACTGAATGCAGTTTTAAAATTTTTAGTATGCAACACAAATTATTTAAAATTTTTAAGTGTACTCCACAAAGATTGCAGTTCCAAGAATAGGCGTAGATATCCCAAAATAAAAAGAATTTTGAACAAATATATGAACAATTACATCAAAACATAAGTCAAACTCCAAACTTTAATATCTTCCCACCTAAGAAGCACCGACATGGAAACGTGACATGGACATATTGACACATAAATTTTCAAAAAATGTAGGACACAACACGCGGGGGACATGTGTAAAATATATAATTTTATATATTGTATGTCATATATATGAATATGTAAGTCAAAATTAATGATTTTTAAACTCTAAAGGAGGAGAATATGCATAATTCACATTGTTTTTATATCATCATTGGATTATAAGTTATTTTATTCAAACTTGTAATGTGTTTCGTATTTGTCTAATTGTTGGGAAGTGTCCGATGAGTGTCGTATCGGACACGGTGTTGGACACAACACTCTCCCCTCTTAGAAGTGTCTGTGCTTTTTAACTTCTCATCAAAACTCAACAAAATTAGAAATACAAATAAAGTAAATTTTGGTAAAACCTACAATGCTATGGCAACGTACCCCAGCATCAACATATTCAGGACCTAACAGTGGGCAGATTACATGCTTCACGTATAGTTGCTTTGCTATTTCCCTTGTTGGGGCTGATACAAGATCTTTAGTTTCTTTCCATAGACGACACTCATCCATGGTTAGAGCTGAATAACCATGCTCACTATCAGATAAGTATATAGAAGATCCATTCCTTGAAGCTTTTTGTATGCGTAGTACCTTACCAACCTATACATATTAGAAGAAAGAATCTGTAAGTGACAAATGTATGTTAGTCCACTCCAACATTTTTAAATGAAGCACGGTATGGCCCAACTTCTTTGACTCATTTTCCTCAAGCCCATGTTCTCTGCCTGTTGAGGGATAACTGCAGGAAAATTTATGTTTCTAGAATTTAAGAAAAAAATTCCTTTCTCAAACCATAGTTTATGCTTTCAAAGGGAAAAGAGTTGGTAGTGGGGAATCACCCAGATTTTAGACAAGAAATTGACATCATGAATCATGAGGAATACATAGTGGGGTAAAGCAACAAGCGTGATCAAGAATAGTAAACCGAAAAGAACCTTACACACACACACACACACACACACACACACACACACACACACACACACACACACACACACACACACACACACACACACACACACACACACACACACACACACACACACACACACACACACACACACACACACACACACACACACACACACACACACACACACACACACACACACACACACACACACACACACACACACACACACACACACACACACACACACACACACACACACACACACACACACACACACACACACACACACACACACACACACACACACACACACACACACACACACACACACACACACACACACACACACACACACACACACACACACACACACACACACACACACACACACACACACACACACACACACACACACACACACACACACACACACACACACACACACACACACACACACACACACACACACACACACACACACACACACACACACACACACACACACACACACACACACACACACACACACACACACACACACACACACACACACACACACACACACACACACACACACACACACACACACACACACACACACACACACACACACACACACACACACACACACACACACACACACACACACACACACACACACACACACACACACACACACACACACACACACACACACACACACACACACACACACACACACACACACACACACACACACACACACACACACACACACACACACACACACACACACACACACACACACACACACACACACACACACACACACACACACACACACACACACACACACACACACACACACACACACACACACACACACACACACACACACACACACACACACACACACACACACACACACACACACACACACACACACACACACACACACACACACACACACACACACACACACACACACACACACACACACACACACACACACACACACACACACACACACACACACACACACACACACACACACACACACACACACACACACACACACACACACACACACACACACACACACACACACACACACACACACACACACACACACACACACACACACACACACACACACACACACACACACACACACACACACACACACACACACACACACACACACACACACACACACACACACACACACACACACACACACACACACACACACACACACACACACACACACACACACACACACACACACACACACACACACACACACACACACACACACACACACACACACACACACACACACACACACACACACACACACACACACACACACACACACACACACACACACACACACACACACACACACACACACACACACACACACACACACACACACACACACACACACACACACACACACACACACACACACACACACACACACACACACACACACACACACACACACACACACACACACACACACACACACACACACACACACACACACACACACACACACACACACACACACACACACACACACACACACACACACACACACACACACACACACACACACACACACACACACACACACACACACACACACACACACACACACACACACACACACACACACACACACACACACACACACACACACACACACACACACACACACACACACACACACACACACACACACACACACACACACACACACACACACACACACACACACACACACACACACACACACACACACACACACACACACACACACACACACACACACACACACACACACACACACACACACACACACACACACACACACACACACACACACACACACACACACACACACACACACACACACACACACACACACACACACACACACACACACACACACACACACACACACACACACACACACACACACACACACACACACACACACACACACACACACACACACACACACACACACACACACACACACACACACACACACACACACACACACACACACACACACACACACACACACACACACACACACACACACACACACACACACACACACACACACACACACACACACACACACACACACACACACACACACACACACACACACACACACACACACACACACACACACACACACACACACACACACACACACACACACACACACACACACACACACACACACACACACACACACACACACACACACACACACACACACACACACACACACACACACACACACACACACACACACACACACACACACACACACACACACACACACACACACACACACACACACACACACACACACACACACACACACACACACACACACACACACACACACACACACACACACACACACACACACACACACACACACACACACACACACACACACACACACACACACACACACACACACACACACACACACACACACACACACACACACACACACACACACACACACACACACACACACACACACACACACACACACACACACACACACACACACACACACACACACACACACACACACACACACACACACACACACACACACACACACACACACACACACACACACACACACACACACACACACACACACACACACACACACACACACACACACACACACACACACACACACACACACACACACACACACACACACACACACACACACACACACACACACACACACACACACACACACACACACACACACACACACACACACACACACACACACACACACACACACACACACACACACACACACACACACACACACACACACACACACACACACACACACACACACACACACACACACACACACACACACACACACACACACACACACACACACACACACACACACACACACACACACACACACACACACACACACACACACACACACACACACACACACACACACACACACACACACACACACACACACACACACACACACACACACACACACACACACACACACACACACACACACACACACACACACACACACACACACACACACACACACACACACACACACACACACACACACACACACACACACACACACACACACACACACACACACACACACACACACACACACACACACACACACACACACACACACACACACACACACACACACACACACACACACACACACACACACACACACACACACACACACACACACACACACACACACACACACACACACACACACACACACACACACACACACACACACACACACACACACACACACACACACACACACACACACACACACACACACACACACACACACACACACACACACACACACACACACACACACACACACACACACACACACACACACACACACACACACACACACACACACACACACACACACACACACACACACACACACACACACACACACACACACACACACACACACACACACACACACACACACACACACACACACACACACACACACACACACACACACACACACACACACACACACACACACACACACACACACACACACACACACACACACACACACACACACACACACACACACACACACACACACACACACACACACACACACACACACACACACACACACACACACACACACACACACACACACACACACACACACACACACACACACACACACACACACACACACACACACACACACACACACACACACACACACACACACACACACACACACACACACACACACACACACACACACACACACACACACACACACACACACACACACACACACACACACACACACACACACACACACACACACACACACACACACACACACACACACACACACACACACACACACACACACACACACACACACACACACACACACACACACACACACACACACACACACACACACACACACACACACACACACACACACACACACACACACACACACACACACACACACACACACACACACACACACACACACACACACACACACACACACACACACACACACACACACACACACACACACACACACACACACACACACACACACACACACACACACACACACACACACACACACACACACACACACACACACACACACACACACACACACACACACACACACACACACACACACACACACACACACACACACACACACACACACACACACACACACACACACACACACACACACACACACACACACACACACACACACACACACACACACACACACACACACACACACACACACACACACACACACACACACACACACACACACACACACACACACACACACACACACACACATTATAAATATGAGTAATATTTATATTATATTATTAAATAAATTTATATACAATAATTAAAAAGTCAATAAAACTTAGCATAACTAATATACCAGCCACCAAACCCAAGCCTAACAATCAAATAAACTATCACCACAATCTCATAATGGTAGAGAAATAAATAATCGATACAATTCTGGAAACATTTTTCAAGTAAGAAATTGTATGATAAAGTTTGGAAGAATTACTATCCAACCGTACTTTATACAAAAATTATAGTTATATGAAAAGGTTAAAACTTTCATTATTAATATTAACAAAAAATTTCACTGATGTGTAATTTATTTTTAGAATTTCTACTAA